CTCCAAGGAGTGACAAGGTACTTGTGGGGGTGTGGGGACGCCTACTGTGCCAAACAGGGATGTGAGCCCACTGGGTGGATTAGCTGGTCGCTCCCTGTCAGTGGGGTCTTAACTAACGTCCAAAAGCAGGTGATATGAAGACAGTGGGGATAGGAACTTGCTCCATAGGCAGATGAGTTGACTGTGGACCCTTCTATAATAAGGAGCGATACCCCAACTACCCCTGGGTGACTGCTGGAGCGAGCTGCAACCAGCTTGTCATCAAATTCACTGAGGCGGCAGAAAGACTGATTGGACCACTGGTAAGACCTGGGGCCTACAGCTCTACCACACTGGCTATGACCCAGTACTGACATTCACCATCTGCAAAGCCAGTCACCCACCATTAAGGTTTCGATAGGACCCAACTGGGTCATTAATCCACCTCAGGCCCCTAGCCTATCACCCCGAGTTCCATTCAGGGGGATGACTCCACAACCAAGTCAGGCAAATGTCAGCTCTATCTAGCCTCATGATCACGTCAACCTTCAACCCATTGATGGGACACGAGCACCCTTAATAGATCTGCTGGGTAAATTGTACCTGGTACTGAATGTTTCCCAGCCCAGTTTGATCAAAGCTTGCTGGCTCTGTTGTGACAGGAGGGGCTAGCAGTTAGTGCCACCATTTCCACGACAGCTGACATCAATCACTGCTGGTGACAACAGAGCAGACAAAGCCTTACCCTAGAACAAGGAACTGGACAGGGACTATGTATAGGACAGGTTCCCCCAGATAAAGCTTCTATCTGTAATTCTTCACTGTCTACCCACAGTTTCACACAGGATCAGTACTTGCTCCCACACAGTCACACTTGGTGGGCCTGCTCCATGGGGCTTTCCCTTGTGTGCATATCAAAGTCCAAACCAGACCAGGGAATATTGTGTACTAGTCAGGTTCATTCTGAGAATAACCTATCACACCGATCAGGGGTTCCTAGACCTCATGCAGTAAGGATGGAGCCAACCCTCACGGCTATGGATACATAGGAGAGAGCCTATGCCAACACTCACCCTTAGCCTACTTTAGGTGCTAGCCTGGGAAGATTGGGCACGGGAATCTCAGCACTAGTAACCAGAATCAATATTATTCCAGCTTATTGCTGCCATAGATGTGGATATAGAACAAATAGAAAAATCCATCTCCCACCTAGAGGAGTTCTCATCCCCTGGTGGAGGTAGTCTTGCAGAACAGGAGGAGATTAGATCTTCTCTTCTTACAGCAGGGTGGGCTCTGTGCAGCGCTAGGGGAAGAATGTTGTGAAGACAGATCATTTGGGAATAATCAAAGACAACATGGCTAAAGTTAGAGAAGGATGGGAAAGCAGAAAAGGGAACATGAGGCCAGCCAGGGTTGCTTTGAAACCTGATTTAATAGCTCCCTTGGTTGACCACTCTCTACTCTATTGGGAGCCCTGGTAATTCTGCTTTTGTTATTGACTTTTGGGCCTTGCATTCTTAACCAGCTAGTAAAATTTATGAAAGACAGATTGGGTACAATACAACTTATGGTCCAGAGATCACAAATCTATAGACCCCTCAGGACTGAAGATACTTATGAGCCAACTGTCAGGAACCCATGACTGGGTTCACTAGAGTTACTAGAGCAGGGGAGAATGAAGACCCAAAGTTCCTCTGTTTTGTCCTCCACTTCCATCTTGTGTCTTGTGTAAGATATTTCCTGTAAAACATTCCAGTCCTCAGAAATGGCTAGGTGCAAAAGTAACAGGGTAGCCACCTGGAAAGTACAGATAACTGCAGAACGCCCCCACCTGAAGTTCAGCCGACAAGAAAACTTGACAAGCAGCAGCCAAGGTTAGAAGATAAAATTTCCGAACAGCCCCTAGATGTGAGTTGATCAGGAATGAACCCGTCCCTCACACCCTGCTAATCTAACTTTTCTGGCTTTTGCCTTTAAATAAGGCCCTGTAGAAGGGCGGGTACCTCCTCTTGCTGTTACTGTGCCAGTTGCTTTGACGAGGTCCCTGCCAGCTTGTATTGTGCACACAATAAACTTTGCTTTTGCATTTTAGTGAGTTGGTCTCCCTGGTGGTCTCTTGGGGTTTCCACAGACTGGGCATAACAACCGTGTCCTGGGACTTTCCTACCCAGACCCACAAGCATCTCAGAAGACAGGGCCCAGGGGGCAAAGAAACGTGAGATGTCTCATCTCCTCACCCCAGGACTGTGGAGCTTAGCTAACAATTTGTCCTCGGCTGGGCCATTGCTCAGATGTCAGAGCCGGGGGTAGGGGGTGTGGGGGTGGGGAGGGTGGGGGTGGGATTCAGAACCCCACCCTTTGGTTCTCCAGGCCCCTCAGGGCCTGCCCACCTGCTCACCATGCTTTTGCTCCTGCCTTTAGCCAACCAAACATGCTGGTTGTAGAGAGGCTGGCTTTGGGAGGGGTTGGAAGAGCCCCTACTGGGTGCTGGGTACCGGTCAAAGTGTGCAAAGTACTTCTTTGGGCAAGCCGAGAGTCGGAGTTCGAGCAGAGGTTTACCTCCATTTGAGCCCTGAGGAGGAAGGAAGGCGTTCCGTGTACTTTCTCTTCATGGTCACAGCTGCCCTGTGTATGAGGACATGGGATCAAGACGCCTCTCCCTTTCACCAGCTCAGAGAGGGGAAGAGAGTGCCGTGTGGTTCTGACTACATGAGCCTCTTAGTACAGATCACAGACACAGACTAGAAACTGAGGCCCTGGTTGGGCTTGCTATGCACTTACCTCTGTTTGAGCCGCTTTCCAAAGGGTAACAGTGTTAGGGTGAACAAAACGGGGCAGAAAGTCTGAGTCACCCTGTGTATGCATCCTCGACCCTGGGGCTCAGTTTTGCCCTACTCAATGAAAGGGGTTTGGGTAGTGTCTTGGCTATGCTTGTGGGTAGATGATGCCCCGTCTAGGGCTAGTTGTGTTGGGTGGGGGTGCTAAGGGTCAGCTGGTCTGGGCAGTCTGGTGGTACAAAGTGCTCTCTCTCTCTCTCTCTCTCTCTCTCTCTCTCTCTCTCTCTCTCTCCATACATACATACAACCTTGGGTTGTCTTCTCCTTTGTGGTATTTCTGATGTCTCTGTGGACCCTCCCCCATTTCTCTCTTTCTCAATACTCTTGCCAAACATCTGGAAGAAAAGTGAAAAACTTGTTCCCCCCTCCCAGCCCCGGATATTGTCAGATTTCCAGATGCGGGGTGTTCTGCCCTCCAGATGAAGGGAGGAATGTGTTCCAGCCAGGGATGGGGACTCAGCCCTGGACTGTTGTCCCTTCCTTCATTGGAAGGCTGAGTGACAAGATGAGAGGAGCCAGGGTCCAGGAGGAAGATGGTGGGGGCCCCAGGTTGAAGCCTTGATACCTTGTCTTAGCTTGAGTTATACCCTTTCTCATGCCTGAGAAGTCCCCTGGGACTCAGGGTGGGAGGCGCTGCCTCTGAAGTTTCTATCAAAGGCTTCAGGCACTTAAAAATAACTAGGAACACCCCTTCTCCCCCCACATGCACAGACACTAGGCGGGAACAGGACCCAATGTGTTTGCAAGATGTCCTCACTCGGAGTTTGCGCTGGAAGGGCCTTATGCCACCTCAGTCTCTCATTTCTCCAAGTGGTGGCCTGGCCAGGCTGTGCTATGTCATAGCTATCTGGTTCCAGGAGCTGGACACTGTTGTTTGTGCCCTGTGGGGTGAACCTTAGGAGCAGGCATTGAGGAGCGAGACTCTTAGATTGGCACCTAGGAGCAAACCTTGCCCAGCATGTTGGGATCCCTCAGAGATGCAGGATCCCTCAGAGCAGAAGGAAGCATGGGATAATGGGAGGAGTAGCAGCAAAAAGCTCCAGAGAGAGCAAATGGAGGGGCAATCAGGAAGGGATGGAGGGTGTGGGGGCAACTAGGGGTGAACAAGAGGCTAGACCTTGGAGTATGCGGGGAAAGATGGGCACTAGGCATCACAGGGAGAGTCAGAGAGAAGCAAGGGGGGGGAACTTGAGACACTAGTCTCGGGTTGGCAGGAGCTGTAAAAGGAGGTTTGAACTGGTGTGGAGGACAGTCCTCGAGGGAGCGCCACCCTTTCTGCTTGCACTTGGGTTGTTCCTGGAGACCCTAGGACCCCATGACTGGGCTGCAGCTGGCTGCTGTTGCTACTCACTCACACACCAGTACGTATAAACACCCAGACATAAACACACAGAGCCCACATCACAGGCACTCACTCAGACACACACAGACAGACATGAACGTGAACACCTGGAAACAGACCCACAGAGACAAGACACAGAACCTTCTCCCAGACCCAGCCGGCCACTCACGGACCCTGGCACAGAGACAGCCAGACAACATATACAAATATCCAAATACCTCCCACCACCCACTCAGCCTGGGAACCCCTGTCTGGAAAGGTGCCTGTACAGACATCCATACCTATCTCCCCTTGCTCTTGAACACAGCACCTGGAATGTCCAGGTGCAAAGTTTAACTCAAGAGTGACCCTTAGGTCATTGCAGCCCCTACCATGGTGCAAAGCCTGCGGCACACACTTTCCTAACCTTTACCTGTCCAAAATGTATTATGTATTAGCCGGCAGAAGAATAACTCTCTCTCTCTCTCTCTCTCTCTCTCTCTCTCTCTCTCTCTCTCTCTCTCTCTCTCTCTCTCTCTCTCTCTCTCTCTCTCTCTCTCTCTCTCTGTGTCTGTCCATCTGTCTATGTCTGTGTGCCTGTGTGCTTGGAGCACAGGCTGAGCAATGGCCTCTGTCTCCCTCCCCCTCCCTCTCCCCAACAGGTGACTGGGGAATGGAGCACCCTCCCCTCCCCCACCCATTCCTGGGCCCGAACAATGCCCTCTCCAGGACCCAAAATAGCCCCTTGAGCAGAGCCAATGTCCTTTTATGGCCCTGTCCCTATTGTGCATAGCAGGGGTGGGGCTGGGGTCAGAAGGTATATGGGCAAGATAAAGCCCAGGGTGGCAGAAGGCTCACCCACCCTCCTCTATTCATCCTTCCTTCTCTCTACCTCTCTGTGATTACAGCGCCAATGGCCCCCAAGAAGCCAGAACCCAAGAAGGATGATGCCAAGGCTGCTGCCCCCAAAGCAGCTCCAGCCCCTGCAGCTGCACCTGCCGCTGCACCTGAGTCCGAGCGCCCCAAGGAAGCAGAGTTTGATGCTTCCAAGGTTAAGGTGAGTGAGGGAGTCACATTGTAGCAGGAGGAACAGAGCAAATGAGCGAATCTCAGAGTGGGACCTACCATGGCGGATAAGACCCCAGAAGCTGGCAGTTTCTGTGCAGAGGTTAAACAAGACCGCTTGCTTCAGACATCTGCAGGACCAAGGGAGGAGGGCTGGTGGTCAGTCAGCTGGTGAGCCTGCCCTGAGGCTGCCCAGAGGTCCCTATACAGTAAGAGGAGAGTCTGGACCGAGGAATGAGTTCTGGTGACTTCTCTGGTTCTTTCTGGATTGCACCTTTAGGAAATCCTGGAACCAGCTGTCCCCCACTCTACAGGGCTCTTCCTTCTCTGGCTGCACGCCGGTTGGGGGTCTCGAGTCCATATCAAGCATCCTCAGGTGGAATAGTGTGTAAGGGAAATCAGGGCCTTGCCCAGGCTGGGTGACACTCACCCCTGCCAAGATCCCCAACCCCAGAGCTGGCAGGTCCCTCCTGGGCTTCATTTTAGCTAGGGAGAAAGGAGGAAAGGCTGGAAAGGGAGGCTCTGGAAGTCGTGCAGGAAGCCGGTTGTGGAGCACGACCAAGCAGCCCCAAGAGCTTTCCTGGCCCGGCTGTCTTTCCCAGAGTCTAAACTGGGAGGGCGAGCCGTGCCTGCCACCTGTGGCATCCGCATAGCAGCACGCAGCCTGCGTCCTGTTCTCAGCTGGCCAGTGGCCACCGCTGCTCTGGCTGCCTCTTGAGGGGCCTGAGGAGTCCTTTCCTTCCCAACACATCCACCATGCCCTGAGTGGCTCTGACAGAGCCTGCATCCGGTCCTGCACTCTTCTTCCCAGAGGCACCGCCTATGTTCTCTGGGTTTGTAGTCAACTCAGTTCCACCTTAGTTGCTCGAATCTTTAGTGTCCTCAACGGTGAAATGGAACCATGAGCCCCCCACTTGTAAGACTGCTGTAGCCCAGAGTTGACTCCCTGTTCGTCTGTCACCCTTAGGCCCTAGAATGTGTCCTGAGCATGCCTTGTAAGGCTACAACTCCCCTGAGACCCCATGGTGGCTTTGTCCAGTCTCACCAGGCACGAGACCGGCACAAATTTATGTCTCAAAAGAGGGGAACGAAGAGGGCCCTCCTCTGCTGTTCTGTCTCCCCGGCTGGCAGAGAAGGGTAGAGCCTGTTCCAGAAGTCAGGGAGTCCTGTCTCCCCAGGTTTTCCCAGAGAGTCAGGAATGATGCTTTTCTCCGTACTGGGTTGAGCCTCAGATTGGAGGGCCACCCACAGCAGGGGACAGGAAAGGGGTGTCCTTCGGCGCAGTGCTGTGCACAATGGAGGGTGGAGGGGCTCTCAGGTGCCAGCCATGCCCTTTTCCCCCACTTCCGTTCCCTGATGTGACCTTGACTTTGGGGAGAGTGACTGCAGTGGTAAAAATAGACTGGAAGCCGATGGGGAGGGGGCTGCTGGGTCCCAGGAGGCCTCCTGACCTCGGGGGGCGGGGCATGATGGCCTCAGAATGCTCCACAGCCCTGTGTCTGTGCTATTCTGGAGTGGGGGGCTGCCTTGGGGCCACAGGCAGGGCTTTGGGGATTAGTGTCCAGCCTTGAGAGCCCCAAGGGGATCTGTGAGGGACACACACACACATGGGCACAAGCATGCGACTTGATTGTCCACAGACATGCTTCCATGCTGACATAGCCTCTGGCCCGAAGCCGGATGCTTGCTCCTCCCCCCCCGAAGTCAGCCTGGTGAGGCCTGCAACATGGAGCGTTTCTGGCAGGGCCTGATATCACCATCTGATTCCACACAGACCCAAAGCCTTTGGGTTGGACAGGTGTGCGAGGCTGTTGCAGCAGCAGGAGGACGTCTAGGGAGACTGCATGAGGTCCTGGGTGGTAAAGGCTGTGCAGCTGCTCTCAGACAGGCTGGTACAGCCAGGGGCCTGAGACCTAGGTGGCCCACGATGACCCAAAGGTACTCAGTCTTTGGATTTCTTTGCAGATCGAGTTCACGCCCGAACAGATCGAAGGTGAGCAGGATCCTGAGCCCAGGGAGTGGTGGGGTGGACCAGGGGTTCCCAATTCAAATCACTGGTGAGGGGGAATGGGGTGGAGAGAGGGGTGGGATCCTCCAGGGAGTATCCAGAGCTCTTTGCCCTTTCCCACAGAGTTCAAGGAAGCCTTCCAACTGTTTGACCGCACCCCCAAGGGCGAGATGAAGATCACGTATGGGCAGTGTGGGGATGTCCTGCGGGCTCTGGGTCAAAATCCTACCCAGGCAGAAGTGCTCCGTGTCCTGGGGAAGCCCAAGCAGGAAGGTAGTACACCTTGCCCCTTAGTGCCAGCCCCAGGGGGGACTGCCAGGGTGGGCGGCTATCGGGTGTCACGGGAACCTCACTGACCTGCTTCCTAATTTTTCTCCTGCTATTGGGATGAGGATGTGAGACTGGCGACCAGGCCATGGTGGTAGGAGACAAGCAGAATGGGTGTGCTGGACCCTTTCTGGCCACAGGGTTGGACCCTAGTGCTCCATGCTGGTGCAAGGGTCAGTCAGGGGACATGGCTGCTTGTTTTTACGCCAGCCTTCAGAATCCCTATGTGGGTCTTTGTCAACTCCCCTCGCCTTGGCTACTTGGTTTGACTCAGGAAGAGTGACACCCAGCCCCTCATCATAGGTCCAGGGAGGGCCTCTGTTGGGCTCAACTGTGTCCACAGGGGGTGGATAGGGTAAGGTCTATAAGAAATGAGACCAGGGTATGGTGATATAGGCCTACAAACCCAAGAATGAAGAGTTGAGGTAGGTGGGTCACTATGACTTGACAGCCAGTCTAGGCTACATAGCTCCAGGATAGCCTGGGCTACAGAGTGAGGCTACATCTCAAAAGGGGAAAAGGAACACTGTGGATGTTGTTCATTTGGGAGAATGCTTGCCTAGCTTACTGGAAACCCTGGGTCTTGATCCTTGGCACTACCTAGACAGGGAAGGATGGCACATGTCCAAAGTCTACAAGATACAGGTGTAGTGTACACCTCTAATCCCAACACTGGGAAGGTGAAGGCAACGGGACTGCCATAAAATTGAGGCCAGCCTGGTCTACATGGTAAGATTCAGTCTGGCATGAGATATGTAGTAAGATCTCAGAGGGTGGGGGGAGGGAGAGAGAGAGAAAGGAGTAGAGAACAGAGCCCACCTTGGACCCACTTGGGGATAGCAAAGGTCTATGTAACCCAGGCATTTCTTGGTAGATTATCTATGCCCTGGGTGCTGACGCGCTTTGTCCCCAGCACTTGCACCAGGGTACTCAGGAACCGTGGGAGAGGGATGGCCCCTCGGCGTTGGGCATGGGGGAAGGCTGTACCCGACCATCCTCTAAGCCGGGACTTGGGACCATCTGTCTGCAGAGCTCAATTCCAAGATGATGGACTTTGAAACGTTCCTGCCCATGCTCCAGCACGTCTCCAAGAACAAGGACACCGGCACGTACGAGGACTTCGTGGAGGGGCTGCGGGTCTTCGACAAGGAGGGCAACGGCACGGTCATGGGTGCAGAGCTCCGCCATGTGCTGGCCACGCTGGGTGAGGGCAGCCCCTCCTCTACCATCTCCTTCTCTGGGGAATCCTGGGGGAAACCCTGTGTCACCTGTCACTGTGTCTCATCTGTGACACCGAAACAGACAGAATGATAGTCACGGCGCCTTAGCGGCAAGAGGGGGCAATACCGTTGAGGTGTGGCAGAAGGGAAGCTAGAAGAACCCACAGTGAGGGCGGGGACAGCTCTGGAGATGGGACAGGACGGTACTCCTGGTGTCCATTGTTTCTTGTGGCCAAGGAGGTGACACTCCTGTGATATCTGTGGACTGTAGGTGCCTCCCACTGTCATCTCCACCATGAGGTACCTGGTCACCTCAAAGCGAACTTCATGTAAAAAACATTTATTGAACAACTTCTGTGTTCAACCCTATGGTGGTCTTAAGGTGTGTGTGTGTGCGCACACACGAGAGCGCGCACACATGTGTATGTGAAGAATGATTGGGTCACCACAGTTGGTACTCTGCCAGTGAACAGCACAGTACAATACAGTCAGAAGGTTACAGACTTCGGCTAGGAATGTGGCTGCCAAACAGGCAGGAAGCCCTGGGTTGGATCCTCAGCGCCGTGGTGCATGTGTGTAATACCAGCACTTGGGAGAGGGAGGCAGGAAGAGTAGAAATTCAAGGTCACTCCTAGTTATATAGCCAGTTTGAAGCTAGCCTGTGCTACGTGAGATCCTACCTCAAATAATAAGAGGAAAAAAAAGAAAATGTTTTAAAAAAGAAAGAAAATCATGGGCTGGAGAGATGGCTCAGTGGTTAAGAGCACTGACTGCTCTTCCAGAAGACCCGAGTTCAATTCCCAGCACCTACATGGCAGCTCACAACTGTCTGTAACTCTAGGGGAGTCTGACACCCTCACACAGATATATATGCAAGCAAAACACCAATGCGTGTGTATACACGTGCACACACACACACACACACACACACAGAGAGAGAGAGAGAGAGAGAGAGAGAGAGAGAGAGAGAGAGAGAGAGAGAGAGANAGAGAGAGAGAGAGAGAGAGAGAGAGAGAGAGAGAGAGAGAGAGAGAGAGAGAGAGAGATTGATTTCAGGTGTCTGTGGAGCAGGGAGAAGTCTCTCAGTCCCTTTCACTGTCATCTGTCAAAGTCTCTGTGGGTCCTTCTACCAGTCCCAAAGGGTTACCCCCAAGAGACTGCTACCAGAGAGGCAGAGGACCCTGCCATCCTGGCAGAGACAGAGGACAGTATATACACAAAGATGCCTAGGCTAACAGGAGGGCCCAGGTCTTCATCTCAAGGTCCTGTACTTCTTGACCTATGATTGGTTGCTCTGGCCTTGGAAATAGGAGTGATGGCTGGCCATGACCTTGGGAGAGGTGCCACTACAGCAAACTCACCATTCAGAGGGTGAATAAGCGCCTCCCTACCCTCCTCAGTCACATCTCTGGGTGGTGTGACTCAGCCTCCCTCCCCTGCCAGGTGAGAGGCTGACGGAGGATGAAGTGGAGAAACTGATGGCTGGTCAAGAAGACTCCAATGGCTGCATCAACTATGAAGGTGGGCTCAGCAGGATGGAGGTCTCCTGGGGAGGAGGTGGGGGGGGTGGATTACCCAACTCTGCAAGTGGGAGTCTTCTGGGGAAGAGTCATGGAGACTGAGCAAAGTCAGGGTCTCCTGGGGAGGGGTCGTGTACCCGGCTCCAGCCCTGGCTGCCTGCTCTGAGTTCCAGCCTCTCATTCTCCTTTTCCTTCCAGCGTTCGTGAAGCATATCATGGCTAGCTGAGCCTCCCACAGGTGAGACCCTCACTCCTTAGCATCCATTGCCACTGTCCGCCCACCCCATCTCCCCCAGTGTCAGCTTGCAGTTGGTGTTCTGCTGTCTTGATCCAGCCCTTCCTTCATAACCTGTGGCTACCTTTCAGGAAGCCCAGGGCAGGCCACGCTGGGGACATCGCATCTCCCAACCGTGATGCTGACACCAGGTCCGGAGCTTCGGAAAGGAAAGGAGTGGGCCAGATTCCTGCATGTGGCCCCAGACCATGTGTGTGTGATTCTTTTCTGGTCCCTGTTGGGATGTGACTGCCTTTCTGTCTCCACCCTATGGCCTTTTGAATAAATGATGTCCTTTCTTTCCTTTCCTTCTTCCTTCCTTCTCCCTCCCTCCTTCCCTTCTTCCCTCCCTCCCTTTCCCCCTTTTTTCTTTCCTCTCCACTGCCCTGTGGCTCATTTCTGTTTGTTCCATGGTGCTGAGCTAGAGGAAGCCTAGCTGCTCTGCTTTTGCTCTTACCTCACTCCTCCCTTTGGGAGACTGCAGTCATCCGGGCCCACTCAATACAAGGATACCACTGGGAGCCCAAGAGTACTGTCTGAGCAATTAACTAACTGCAGGCCATTGGCCCTGAGCCATAGGAGTCACTGAAGGAGCCTAAGCTCAGGCCTGGTGCAGGGAGTGGCCTGGCCTGACCAAAGGAAAGAATGGCCAGGCGAGAGCTGTCTTTGTCCCAAGGATATCAGAACTGAAGGAGCATCGGCAGCTCCAGCCTTGACTCCGATGGAGAAACTGAGCTGTTCTGCCCTAGTAAAAACACAAGGGTCTTGCTGGGGTGGCATGTCATTGCTAGTGAGTCCCTTGCCCCCAGTTTTTTAGTGGAAGTCATGTCTGTGGGGCTTCATGGGCACAACAAAAGGAGACTGCCTAGAGGACTGCCCCTGTAGGTTTGGTGGGGTGCAAAAACAACACCCCATGGAGGGGGTAAAGTCTGGAGAACAGAGGGGACAGAGGGAGGCTGTACCATACAGAACTAGGGAAGCCCACAGGACCAGAGGGACGCAGGAGCTCAGGGCAGCCTCACCCAGGCTCATTGCCATGGCCTGTTGTAAGGGTGTCTGCATAGAAGGCTCAGATTGCGTGTTCTAGAGCAGGCTCTAAGGCCGTGTGAGCCAGGCCGCCTGTGGGTATTGGTGTGGCAGCAGCGGAGTCCGAGTTTGTAAGGATTGTGAGGGTGTGTATGTGAGAGCGTGTCAGTGTGTCACAGAAGTGTGTTATTGCTTCCGATTTGAACCTTTCAGTGTGTCAAACTATTTAACCTCTCACTGAGCACTTGTGTGTCAGGCTCTGGTCCAGGCACTGGGGACACAGTGCTAGAGAGAGCAGAGCCCACACACAGCAGACAGATGCCAGACCTGTTGAAGATCAGATAACAAGGGAGGCTGAGGGAGCCCTGTGTGTGTGTGCATGTGCAAGCGAGCGTGTGTGCGTGTGCACGTATGTGTGTGTGGTGTGTGTGTGTGTGTGTGCATGCGTGTTTGGTGTGTGCTCACGCGTGCGTGTATGTGCATGCATGCGTGTGTGTGTGTGTGCATGTGAGCACGTGGAAGCAAACTTGGGAGCATAGGCACTGAAGTGGGTAGCAAGGAGCAGAAGGGATGGAGTTGGGAGCTGGTTCACTTGTAAATGATGAGGTCAGGGATTATATGAGAGGCTAGCATGTGACGAAAACTTGAAGGACAGGTACTAATATTCAGAGTATGTAAAGAACATATAAATTACCCCAGAAACAATCTGATTAACCCGGGCAAAGGACCTAAGTAATCATCTATAAAGAAGATGGACACAAGCAGGCATGGTGGCCTGGGACTTTATCCCAGTGCTCAGGAGAGACAGGTGGATCTCTGTGAGTTTGAGTCCAGCTAGGTCTACATAGTGAGACTCTCTCTTGAAAAAAAAAATGGATATGGGGCTGGGCATAGAACTCAGTGGCAGAGTGCTTCTACAAGGCTCAACATGCAACCTCTAGTGCTAAAATACAGATTAAAATAAAATTTAAAAAAGATCTGCACGGGACTAATGAGATGACTCAGTAGCCAAAGATGTCTGCTGCCAAGTCTGGTGACCGAGTTTGATCCCTGGGACCCATGTGGTGGAAGGAGAGAGCAACTCCTGAAAGTTGTCCTCTGACCTCCACACAGGTGCTGTGAGATATATGTCCCACCCCCTCCAACATAAACAAATGTGATTTTAAAAATTAAAGATATTCAAATAGCCAATCAACCAGCAAAATGGTGCTGAGGATGGGACTTGTCACCCGACCCGACCCCACCCACGCTTGGCATCTTTTATACAATGAAATAGCATACACAACAAAAAGACTTTTTATTTTTATTTTAGGTGTATGAGTCTTTCACCTGTGTGTGTATATGTGCACGGTGTGTATGCCTGGTAGCCATGGAGACTGAAAAAGGGCAGGCATCAGATCCCTGGAGTTACGGATGATTGTGAGTGACCAAGTGGGTGCTGGGAGTTGAAACTCACTTTATGCAGGAGCAGGATGTACTCTTCACCTCCCTCCAACCCCATCATTCACATTTTTAATCTATCTATCTATCTATCTATCTATCTATCTATCTATCTATCTATCTATCTATCTTCTATCTTCTATCTATCTATCATCTATCTATCTATCTATCTTCTATCTATCTATCTATCTATCTATCTATCTATCTATCTTCTATCTATCTATCTATCTATCTATCTATCTATCTATCTATCTTCTATCTATCATCTATCTATCTATCTATCTATCTATCTATCTTCTATCTATCTATCTATCTATCTATCTATCTATCTATCTATCATTTGTCTATCTATCTATCTATCTATCTATCTATCTATCTATCTATCATCTATCTATGTCAGGACACCACTAATCATTAGAGTCCAGCAACTCAAATTGTAATCCTAGCATTTGGAAGGTTGAGGCAGGAGGATTGCTGTGGAGTTTGAGGCCAGCCTGGGTTACATAGTGAAATCATCTTAAAAAAACAAAAACAAAAACAAAAAAAAACCAACTCAAAACCAGATCAAAACAGAGCAAACAAACGAATAACAAACTATAACAGCCCCTTTGAAATAGAAAATAATGTGTTAAAGAGGGTGCAGAGAAATGAGAACCTTGTGTATTGGTGGGAGGGTAAAATAATGCAGCCATTGTGGCAAACAAAACAGCGGTTCTTCAATGTGACTGAAGGTCTCACACACACTAAAAACAGGGTTATCACATGACACAATTCCAATTCTCAATATATACTCCCTCAAATTAAGGACAGGATCTCAAACATATAATTTACATCCACCTTTTTGGCAGCATTGTTCACAAGTAGCCCAAGCTGGAAACAACTCAGTTGTGGACGGATGGACATAAAGCAGTGGAAGCATACATAGGAATAGTGCAGTACTGAGGATCGAACCCAGGGCCACACATTTGCTAGGCAGGCACCATTCAATGGAATCACTCAGTCTTTTCTTTCTTTTTTAAAAAATGGTTTATTTATTTTATGTGCATTGATGTTTTGCCTTCATGTATGTCTGTATGAGAGTGTCAGATTTGGTTGTGAATTGCCGTGTGGGTGCTGGGAACTGAACCTGTATCCCCCAGAAGAGCAGCCAGTGCACCACTGAGCCATCTCCCTAGCCCTTTCTTTCTTCCTTTCTTCCTTCCTTCCTTCCTTCCTTCCTTCCTTCCTTCCTTCCTTCCTTCCTTTCTTTCTTTCTTTCTTTCTTTCTTTCTTTCTTTCTTTCTTTCTTTTATCAAGACTCATTAGGTAGTCCTGGCTGTCCTCAAACTTGTGGTAATCCTCCTGTCTCAGCCTCCTCAGTATGGGGATTGCAGATGTGTACCATAATACCAGATCTAGGGAGTAAGATTCTCTTATAAGGGAGAGAATTTGGGTGCATACATGGATGGTCCTGCACAGGACTGGGTTGGGGCTCAGCATTTTCCTGCTGATGGGATCCGCCTTGGGGAGGAGTCCTGAGCAGGAAATATACTCTTTTTAATCAACTGGTGGCAAGAAGTGGCCCTGTTGCCAGGTTCCCATATGTCAGTCAGGGAGGTACATGTGTCTACTCCAAGAATGCCTGCCCCTCATCTGGTCCCTCTAGATTTCCTAGATGTTAAAGCCCCCCTCACCGTCTCCATGAAGCTTGGTGGTGGGAGGAAGGGGGAGCATCTCACGTATATTTCTCCCTGACACAGCAGCTGGCCCGCTAGGCTTCAGGTGTAGATAGGTCAGGCGAGCATACTCTAAGGCTGTTCATGGTAGTTTCTGGGGAAGTGGGGTCTGGTTTGGGGAGGGCAGTACTTACTCCTCTGCTTGCGGCTGTGACGGAATATCTGGCAAAGGTAACTTAAAGGGAGGGCTGGCTTTGGCTCACAGTCTGAGAGTCAAGTCCACTAGGGTGGGGAGGAGAGGGTGTCATCGTTATGAGGTGACTGCTTACACTGTGTTCAGTCAGGAAACAGAGAATTGAATGCCGCTGCTCCGCTCTCGTTCTCTTTTGTATTCAGTATGGGGCCCCAGCCCACAGGCAGAGGCACTCAGCTGCTGAGGTCACCCTTCACTTGTATTCAGTATGGGACCCCAGCCCATAGGCGGAGTCACTCAGCTGCGAGGTCACCCTTCACCTTGCTCCGCATCAGCCGGGGCATCTACTTGCGGAGACAGTGTGTGCTTTTTGGTATGTTCCTGTGTGTGTGTGGGCTTCTATGTTCACAAGTGTGCATATGTCAGTGAGTGTATTCTTCTGTATGTCGTATATGTGAATGTCTGAGATCATGTGGGTACATGTGTGCCCATTTATCTGAGCATTCAGACATGTATGTTTGCCTCTGTGTGTGACTGTGCTTGTCTGTGTGTTTGTGGGTGGACGCACTGGGGGGCTCTGCTGAGTCAGCCCCGGTGCTGGGCAGGCTCCGTTACCAGCCAGGCTGTGGCCTCCCCACAGTTGCATAAACACTGGTCCCAGCTCCCCCCTCAAGCAGGGTGGTCCGGCCTGTGGCCCTGTTGCTGGTAGAAGTGGATATAAAGGGGAGAGGGGTTTGTCCTCCCATCAGCCTAGGTTGCTCCAGGCCTCAAGCGTCAAGCCATGTGCACCATAAGGCTGGTGTCTGCTCTGGGCTTTCCCTGCCTGGGGTCCCTCATCTGGCCTGAGCCGGGACTCGGAGTTCTCAGCTGCCTCTCTAGCTCTGATTCAGGCTGAGCTAGGGTTAGCCAAGCTCAGGGTTCAGCATCAGGACTCCCGACAGGGCCAGATGGTCCCCATGAAACTGGAACTTAGCTCGGGAGGTCCAGTGACAGCGAAAAGCAAACAGTCCAGTGGGCCATTGGAGCTCACATGTTCAGGGACTGGAACTTGAATCCAAAAGACAGAGAATTAGAGAATCTGCGCTGTGATGTCTCCCTGCTCTGATGTCCTACAGGGCCACCCATGGCTCTTGGCAATCTTCCACATCCTGTGTTCTCTCTTTCAGACACCATTCCCAGGGACTTTAGGGATAGCAGGAGGACATGGATTTGGTCACATAGTCACACGAACCAGAGGTGCAGAGGTCCAGAATTCAGGCGGAAGAAGAGTGAAGTCAGGGCCTCAAAGAAGCCAGGCATTTTGTGAACATTTTACGGGGCCACGGAAGGAAAGAGCTCGGGCTGCGGGCGTGAGAATTTGGACTGTGGAGCTCAAAGCAGACAGCCACAGAGGGGCCAACAGAACGCCGATGGGGGCCTGGAGAGAAGTCAGGGTGTGGAGTGAAAGGGTCCAAAGAGAGGAATGTATGAAATTGAGGGGGAGGGGAGGAGCCAAAGGGAGTTGGCAGCAGCTGACAGCCCCTCCTGTTGTATAATGGGTGCTTGGAGAGCTAGGCTGCTATGCTGTGCTCTTAGTCTCGAGGCCTCGGGTGGTGCTGGTGAGGGTTTTCAGAGGGGGGCATAAGTGTGCTTGTCTGGGGACAGAGACCCTCTGTGGAGAGCTGACCCACCTCAGAGAACAAATTGGAAAATGCAGGTCTTGAACTCGTGACCTCGCGCAGAAGTGGCTCCTGGGGTTCCCTCCAACTTCCTTCACACAGCTCCTGCCCCGCCCTCACTCAAGTTTGGGGGTTATTTGTTCCCCACCCTCCCAAAGCCACACAGATTTGGGTTTGCCCAAATGCTGACAGAGCAGGGCTGGAATGTGGAGTGTGTGAGTGCCTACAGCCAGCCCGTCCCAGCAGGCCCTCCACACTGCTCGGCAGCCAGGGCCTGGGGCCTCCTGGACAGAGACCAGCATAGACTGTCAGGCCTTCAAGGCCCTTTCCAGCTCCCTCCTCTCCAGGTGGCTGGGCCGCCCAGGCAAGGGTTCTCCTATTTTTCCATGCTCTGGTCCCTTTTCTGGTGTATAGGCCCAGGTGCCTCTTATCCCCTATATACACAGTCATCATATCCATGGGGCCTCATGTGTCTGAGCCTTTCAGAAGGGATTGTAGGAATGATAGGGACCAGTGGGTAGCTGGGGCTCCAGAGATGGGGAAGATGGTGTAGGGTGGGCATGGGGGTGGGGGAGGACTCAAGTCTTGGCCAACTTCCTCCTCTTTCTTCCTTCTTTTCTTCCTTCCTTCCTTTCTCTCCTTCTTCAAGACAGGGTTTCTCTGTGTAGCCCTGGCTGTCCTGGAACTTACTCTGTAGACCAGGCTGGCTTTGACCTCAGGAAAATCACCTGCCTCTATCTCCCAAGTGCTGGTATTAAAGATGTTCACCATCACGCCCAGCTTTCTTTTTCTTTTTTTTTTTCTTTTTGGTTCAGGTATACATGGGTGTTCCCTTTCCCCACTACCCCAGGACCCTAGGTCTGGGAGCCTCTCTTTCCCCTTTCCTCGTCCCTTCTGCTACTTTCCCCAATCCTGTCTTCCTTCCTCCATCCCAAAGAAGGTTGAGAAGCAGACTGTGCTACTCTAGATTGAGCTCCTCAGCACCCAAGCCACCGAGGACGGGCAGTGATCGTCCCGTCCTGAGGTGTGTGCAAGCAGAGAGGACATACTTCCAGTCAACAAGGCTGCAGAAGGGCTTTCTTCTCAGACTTGTGGTCCCAACTAATCACAATACCCAAGAAAGTTCTCGTGTGAGAAAAAAAGTCCTATGCTCTGTGATTTCCATGAACTTCAATTTATGGATCTTTAGTGCTCAACTTTATGAGATCTCCTCCTTTCTCCTTCTTCTTCTTCTTCTTCTTCTTCTTCTTCTTCTTCTTCTTCTTCTTCTTCTTCTTCTTCTTCTTCTTCTTCTTCTTCTTCTTCTTATTCTTCTTCTTCTCCTCCTCTTTCTTCTTCTCCTCTTTCTTCTTCTCTTTCTTCTTCTTCTCTTTCTTCTTCTTCTTCTTCTTCTCTTTCTTCTTCTTTGAGACAGGGTCTCACTCCATAGGCCT